GAGGAGAGAGAGACTGGAGGAGGAGAGAGACAGAGACTTGGGGAGGAGAGAGAGACTGGAGAGGAGAGAGACTGAGACTAGGGAAGGGGAGAGAGAGAGACTGAGACTGGAGGAGGAGAGAGACTGAGACCTGGGGAGGAGAGAGAGACTGGAGAGGAGAGAGAAACTGGAGAGGAGAGAGCCTGAGACTAGGGAAGGAGAGAGAGAGACTGAGACTGGGGGAGGAGAGAGAGACTGAGACTGGGGGAGGAGAGAGAGAGAGAGACTGGAGGAGAGAGAGAGACACTGGGGGAGAGAGAGACCCAGACTGAGTGACGAGAGAGACTGGGGGAGGAGATAGACTGGGGGAGGAGAGAGAGATAGAGACACCCAGATTGTGGGAGAAGAGAGAGACTGGGTCAGATGGAAGAGAAATAGGTTGAGTGGGGCAAGAGAGAGGCTGAGTGGAGAGACTGGGGCAGGAGAGAGAGTCACTTGGGTTTATTCACTAAACTATGAATTGCAGTGAATCTAAAACGATAAATGTGGGTAAAAATCGCACATTTGGGAAAATTCTCTAACTCAGCTATAATCACATCTTGGCTGTATAAAGCTTAGGGAATAACTGTTAAGATTGGGCAAGAAGAGTGGCCTAGGCTGGAGAGAGATACCGAGATTGTGGGAGGAGAATGCCTGGGGTAGGATAGAGACCGAGACTGTATGGGAAGATTGACTGGGGCAGGAGAGAGACTGAGATTGTGGGAGGAGAGTACCTGGGGTAGGAAAGAGACCGAGACTGTGACAGGAGAGTGATTGGGGCAGGAGAGAGACCAAGATTGTAATAGGAAAATGACTGGGGCAGGAGAGAGACCAAGACTGTGAGGGGAGAGTGACTGGGGCAGGAGAGAGGACCAAGACTGTGAGAGGAGAGTAACTGGGGCAGGAGAGAGACCAAGATTGTAGGAGGAGAGTGACTGGGGCAGGAGAGAGACCTTGATTATGGGAGGAGAGTAACTGGGACAGGAGAGAGATCGAGAATGGGGCAGGAGAGTAAATGGGACAAGAAAGAGAATGAGACTGTGGGATGAGACTGACTGGGGCAGGAGAGAGACTGAGACTGTGGGAGGAGACTGACTGGGGCAGGAGAGAGACTGAGACTGTGGGAGGAGAGTGACTGGGGCAGGAGAGAGACTGAGACTGTAGGAGGAGAGTGACTGGGGCAGGAGAGAGACTGAGACTGTGGGAGGAGAGTGACTGGGGCAGGAGAGAGACCTTGATTATGGGAGGAGAGTAACTGGGACAGGAGAGAGATCGAGAATGGGGCAGGAGAGTAAATGGGACAAGAAAGAGAATGAGACTGTGGGATGAGACTGACTGGGGCAGGAGAGAGACTGAGACTGTGGGAGGAGACTGACTGGGGCAGGAGAGTGACTGAGACTGTGGGAGGAGAGTGACTGGGGCAGGAGAGAGACTGAGACTGTAGGAGGAGAGTGACTGGGGCAGGAGAGAGACTGAGACTGTGGGAGGAGAGTGACTGGGGCAGGAGAGAGACCGAGACTGTGGTAGGAGACATACTAGAAAAATATAGCCAGACATGAACGATGCCTGAAAACGTAGACAAAGCAAAAATAATGTTGATACAAGAAAAAATGTAAACATTGAATCTTAAAGGGGCACTGTAGGAACTGTTAGGGCTTCATCTCATTTGAGTGGGTACCTTGTATGTTGTCCCATAGCATCTTATTTTCATTAAAGGGACACTATAGGCACCAAAACAACTTTACCTTAAAGGGACACTATATAAAGCTTATTGAAGTGTTGTAGGTGCAATATCCATGTCCACCTTAGTCCTGCAATGTACTAAGTACTAAGACTGCCTCTAGTGGCTGTCTACCAGACAGCCACTAGAGGGAATTCCTGAATTCTTGCAGAGTCTGAGTCCCTTAAACAACGCTGATTGTCCACACGCTCTGCATGAGGACATTCAACACCAGTAAAATCATCTTGGGAAAGCATTGATTCAATGACGTCGGAGGAGGTGGAGCGCCGACCTAGCTCCGAAAAAGATCAGGTGAGCAAATAAAGGGGGGCGTGAGGGAGTGCGGGACCAGAGACACTATAGTGTTAGGAACTATAGATTCCCTTTAATGATGCAGTTTTGGTGTATAGATCATGCCCCTGCAGTCACAGTGCTCAATTCTCTGTCATTTAGGAGTTAAATCACAACCTTCCTAAACACTTCCTGTAAAGTGAGATCTAATGTTTACACTTCCTTTATTGCACATTTTGTTTAATTTAGAATGTATTATCTCCTTACTATTAATAGCCAACTAGACCTTGCAGAAGCCTCTTGTGTGTGGCATTATCTATACACCAAAACTGCTTCATTAAGCTAAAGTTGTTTTGGTGACTATGGTGTCCCTTTAAGTGTCAAACCATTAAATTCCATAATGCAGGCACGGACAGGCCATTGGGCAAACCAGGCAAAAGGGTCAAGGTCGACAGGGAGATCAAAGAATCTCTTATGAGGGGTGGCCCAGAGAGGGAGCTACATGACCTGGGGGGAGATCACGCAGAGGGAGAAGAGTATGGGATCTGTACCTTTTGTGGGTACAGACCAAGTTGTCTGCTGCAATTTATCAGAGCATTGCCGCGGGTTACCACTGCAACTCTCTGATACTTTTCCCACCAACAGCCACAAAAAGAGCCTGCGCCCACCGTAACAGTGCAGAGAAGGACCGAATCATCAGGGATCTGCATTCCCACCTCCCTGCCTCAAGGTGAGTCAAAAGGAGTGGGGAATAAACTTATTTATAAGTTTGTTTTTAATTAAATAAAACCAAGGGGTTCAGCCCCCTACCCAAAATAAATATACAACCCCTGCCCCCTCACAGACACACTACCCCCTTTATCCTCTCCACAGATACAATACACTTCCTATTCTCCCCTCACAGACACACTACACTTTAGTGGGTATCCAATTGACATGCCCACTTTGGGGGACCTGAATGTCATTGCAACACCCCACCCTCTGTCCCCCCACTCAAACTAGGCTGCTCTGCTTTAAAATGCCTGGGCTGGATTCTTGTCCCAGTCCAGCTCTATTTTAATGTTGAGCAATAATCCCCAGCACCCCATCTTCCCCTCTGTGCAGCTTGGGCTAATGAGGAAGCATTAACCTGAGCAGCAATGGTGGGCTGTGATTGGCTAGAGTGTCACCTGACTGCTGTCAGCCTATCACAGCGTCCATTGCAGGTATGAATCAGTATGGCTAGAAGGAAGTGTGTAATTCCTGCCTTAGCCACACCTCCAATGAGGGCCGGGCTATGGATGGCCAAGGGCCCTTACTCAGTGGCAACTGTGTCACCTGAGCACTCTCAGCCGGTGACTTAAAGGGACACTCCACTATACAAATGGGCAAAAAAAAAATACAAATTACTGTTTAGTAGAAAACCCCTATCGAATATATACATACAATACATGCATAACTTGAAAGGGTTTGCAAAAGCTGCAGTTCTTATAGCTGCAGCTTTTGTAACCTTTTTCCACAGGAGAGACTAACCGCTATCCCTCTGTTTCATTAATTCATTATAAAAGTGCTGATTTCTCATAGAATTCAACATTCTTATAAACTGTCTTTGAAATGGATTACTCCTTTCCCATGAAGCACTTCAACAAGCATTTTATTGGTGTAAAATGGAGCTTTAAAGGGACTCTCCAGGCAGCCCTTTTTACTTACCTGGTTCCAGCGCCGGGAGCCTCGTGAAGCCGCGCCCCCTATTTCGTCAAAATGACAAAATAGGTGGGCGCGAGCAGGGAGCAATCAGACGCTTCCATTTGGAAGCGTCATTGCTCCCTTGTGCGCATGCGCGGCTCATACTCAGCTCGCGATCTTTGCCCGCCCCCTCTCCTCTGCTGACAGGCAGGAGAGAGAAGGCGCGCACACAGTGCCTTCTCTCTCCTGCACACGTCAGACGTATTTTAATACATCTGACGTGTACATGGCCTTTTTAGGGCCATACCTGATAGGAAGTCCCTCTGGTGGCCGTCTGAGTGACAGCCACTGGAGGTATTCCTATCAATCATTCTCTGAAAATACAGTGTTTACATTAGATTGCCTGCAGGGAGCTATAGATCTCACCTGAACAACTACATTAACCCCTTAAGACCGGAGGGCGTACAATTACGCCCTATTTTAGGTGGCTCTGAACGCCGCCGGGCGTAATTGTACGCCCTCCGGTCTTTCTTTACTTACCCGGTCGCCAGCGGTCCCACGCCGGCGATCGCGGTGGGGGGGAATCCCAGGGAGCCCCCCCGCGGTAGATCCTCCTCCTCCGGTGCCCCCCGGCCATGTGAGAGTGAGGTCCTTGCGAGGACCCCACAATCACATGGCCGGGGGTAGCTGCCTCCTGCATTGCCCGCAGGGGGGGCTGCCTGTAATGACAGGTGGTCCCCCTGCTGGCTGAAAATAAAATTAAAATAAATTAATTAAAAAGTAAAGTGTAAAAAAAAATATATATATATATACTTAGATCATATAAGTATATATGATCATATATATATATATTATATATATATGATCTAAGTATATATATATATATATACACATATACATACACACACATACACTGTCTAGGTGTATTTTACTATTAATATATATATAATTATATATATATATATATATATATTAATATCAAATTACACGTAAACTGATACTGATTAAATATATATATAATTATTGTTATATATATATTTATATATAATATAAAAAAACTAAAATGTAAATACGTTAAAAAATAAAATTTTAAAAATAATTAAAAAATATATAGATGTGTGTTATTTCAATGTAACTGTATTGTGATATTAATATATATATATATATTTATATTAAAAATACACGTAGAACGAAATAATATATATATCTACATACATAAATATATACGTATATATCACTATATATATATATACCTATATATAAATAAAAATATTTAAAAAAAATTATATATATATATATACACATATAGATTCACATACGTATATATATATATATATATATATATATACATATATTAATTCTACATATGTATTTATGTAATATTTTTACATAATTAGGTATCTTAATTAATTATAATTAGCGGGACCTGCCTGACAACCCATGTCGAAAGTAAAGGGAATTTAATTTGCTAGCACTATATTTAACCCTATAACTTTCCAAGACACCATAAAACCTGTACATGGGTACTGTTCTACTTGGGAGACTTCGCTGAACACAAATATTAGTGTTTCAAAACAGTAAAATGTATTACAACGATGAT